GGCAGCCTGTGAGAGCGTGTGGCAGGAGGAGAAAAGGGTGGAGGGACCACGGGGACAGTTGCTATGGAGGCTCCATTAGAAAGAGAATTGTGATAGAGCAGAAGCACACCCACTGGGTCAAAGGAGATCCTACCCAGGATCTTCTGTCCCTTTGGAAGCAAGCGTAGGGGAGGTGAGAGCTAAGAGGACTTGTGCAGGATAGCCACAGTTGCAGAGAGAGGGCTCAGAACATAGAGAGGAGAAGGCCTGAACGTATGATATCTCTTTCCATTTTCTCAAACCCTCACAATAGTTGAAAAGATCCCTGGTAATATGGGGATCTAGAGTGCCATCAAGTGGCCATCTAGAGTCCAAAGAACATTGAGGCCAGATCTGATTACACAAGTAGATAAGTTTTGGGGGGTTTAGGTCTGGGGTGAAACAGAGAGAGAGACCCCAGGTTAGCCAGGAGGCAGCCTAGGGGACTAAGGGAGGGAATGGATGAGGAGCCGCCCATGGTGAGACATAGGAGGTGAGTTTAGAGGTGAGGTGACCCCAGTCTCCAGTATCACCTAGTCGAGAGGATAGTATGCTCAGGGGGTCGTCACCACCACTGGGTAAGCATTAGGGCAGGAGCCCATAGAGGCACTTGGGCACCCGACTGGGACTATGTAGGGGCAGAAACTGTAGAGATTAAGCCAAGGCTGAGAGGTCTCACCAGGAACAACTCTCAATCACCCTCAGTAGTTTTTCTCAAAACCCAGGACCCAAATAACAGACAAATTATAGACCCAGTTGACAGTAGGGATCAGCTGTAGCTGTGAAAGCTGTGACTGGGGATGCCCCTGACCATATGGTAACCCTGGGAGTTCCAGACAATCGTTGGTCAGTTCCTTGGACCTATAGGTCATTTAGATTGACCGGAGACAGGGATCCAATGGTGGGTGCAGAGAGGGCATTGGCAGAATGGAGGGCCTGGTCCCATGATGGAATCCAGATCTTGGGCTAGCAATGCTTAGTGACCCTTGAAGAGGGGAGCAGGCACACTGGGGAACCTGATCCTGGGTCTTGGCACCAATAAAAGGAAAATGAGGAAGCAGGAGACGGGTGAGTGAGAAATAAAAGAGACCAGGCGGAGATACATATGAGAGTTTATTTGTTAGAGCTGACACATAAAGGCCATCTCTTCATAGACAGAGAGAAGTGACAGAGGCTTGGGTGCTGGAACTTTTATGGGGCAGGCTCAGGTATTAGAGCCAGGCAGGTGGGTGGTGGGTGGTTAGGGGTTGGGTTGGTATAAGGAAGTGAGTGGTGAGCCTTTCTCAGAAATGCCCATAGGTGGGAAAGAGAAATTTCTCTTAAAATGTTGGCTGTCACTTAAGATGGCCATCCAGATGCTAAGCAAGGACCTTACAATCATCTTCAAACTTAGCCTCACACAAGGTCTCCAGTCATGGATAAATTGTAAACAAGTTCTTTCCCAGAATGTAATATGAATAACCTCTACTCAAATTCCCAATAGAGTATTTCCATCTGGAATCTCATGAGCACAGTCTTTACTTTTTGCAATCCTATTAGTATTCTGGTTTTCTGAGCTCACACCAGATTCATACATTAAGACTCCCAACATTCTAGGGCTCCTCTAGCCTGCATCTCAAAACCTTTTTAAACTTCTCCCACAAACCATTTCCAAAGGCTTCTGAAGCTATGGTCAGAATCATTACAGCAATGATGCCACCTCTCTGTACCAATTTTATTTTTTATTTTTAGCACTGTGACAAAATACCTAAGAAAATTAACTTAAAGGAGGAAAAATCTACTTTGGTTCAGAGTTTCAGAGGTTTTAGTCCATGGTTACTTGGTACCATTGCTTTGGGCCTTTGGCAAGGCAGAATATTTTAGTGGGTAGGATATGGTGGAACACATATATAATTTACCTCATGGTAACTAGAAGTGAGGATGGGAGCCAAGGACAAAGAAAACTTCTCAAGGGCACACCTTTGGGACCTATTTTGTCCAACTAGGCCTACTTTCTAATGTTTCCACCATTTCTTAACAGCTCGAATAGCTGGGGTCCAAGCCTTCAGCACATGGCCTTCAGGGACAATTTAACATGTAAAACATAATAGAGGGGATGTAGAAAAAAGGGAACATTTGCACAACATTTGTGGAAATGTAAATTATTGCAACCATCATGAAAAATACTATGGAGATTCCTAAAAAAGCAAAAATAGAATGACAAGATTAACAAATCACATTTGTGTGTGTGTGTATGTGTGTGTGTGTGTGTGTGTGTGTGTGTGTGTGTGTGTGTATATATATATGTAATAGTAAGGGCACAATGTTCATTTACATAGTTACATGCTGTTAATTAGAACAAGGATGTCAACAATTTTAGCACAGCACTTGTGTGCATGGCACATAGGATTTATACTACTGTTGTGACTGCAGAGGAATGTTTCAAAGCTGTCTCCCAATCAGTGGCATCATAACCATCAGAGGAATTTTAAGCAAAACCAAACTGCAGATTCCTATGCCCACTCCCTCAAGTTCTGATACAGAAGGTTTGAAATAGGCTCTATAAATCTCTATTTCTCAAAAGTTCCCTGAGTTATGTATATGTACAACCAGGCCTTGAGCCACCAGTGCAAAGGACAGTCATATGCCGATTGGATCTATGTGGCTGACAATAATCAAACAACCAAGGCACACAAATTATTTTGAAGCCCTGAAATTACAGATTTAGTGATAGATGTTGAGGTCTGTGGTCAAAAGCATTTATGCAGTGTGGTTATGGCTTGAGAACACCATGAGCTTTTCCCAGGTTGTGGGTGGCCTTGTTGTCCAGAAATTCCATCTGCTTGTCACTTGATCTCACCATGTTGTTCATCTTTGCCCTGCCACAGTCACCACAGGCACAGAGTGCACACTGGCCCAAGAGTCTGGTAAGGACTCAAAGAATTTCCTAACCAACCATTCACCTGGGTGAGATTCTTGCCTATAACAGAACTCCAGGCCTAAGTCCTGAGTAGCAATCAAATTTTAATTCTCCAACTCTGGCTTCTACTTTTCCCTTCTAATTATAAAAAATTACTTGACCTATCAGCTCCTTTAGAGGACAACAAGTTGAAATATTTGTACCCTCCAGCTTTTGCCAGCTCTGCAGACTTCATCACATAATCTCAGTCAACATGAACAAATTCCTCTGGCCCAGCTTTGTTTCTGGTGGTACCCTGGCAACTGAATTCAACATCATGACCTTGAAAGGCAGAAGCATAGTCTTCCAATTTTTTAAAGTCCACCAGTTCTTGATTCACATTTTTATAAGCTTCTTTCTCAAAGGGGAGCTTCTTCCAGCCAATCAGAGTGACTCTGGAAAACAGGTTCTGTTCCAGGATTTCTTTTAAGATCATTTTGCTGGTTTCCCTGCTGGTGCCTAGTATAAAGACGGATTTATTCTGCATCTTTAAGTCTTCTGGAAGCTTTAGCAGTGCCTCTATCTCTGCCTTGTCAGCTTGGTCTTCTGGGTGACTTTCTAAGGTAAATCTTTAGTAAAGAAGAATAGTTAAATTTTTTTTCATTTAATAAAAGCAGCTATTTTTCTGAGTCAACATTTTTTTAAAGAGAGAGAGAGAGAATTTTTTAATATTTATTTTTTAGTTTTTGGTGGCCACAACATCTTTATTTTATTTTTATGTGGTGCTGAGGATTGAACCCAGCTCCCCGCGCATGCAAGGAGAGTGCTCTACCGCTTGAGCCACATCCCCAGCCCAAGTCATCATTATTAATTATGACACAAGTGCACATATTAATTTTTCCTCTCATGTTCATCCAGACTCACTATTCAAATAACCTAATATTATATCTATTAGATATTTATGTTTACAAAAAATAATAAACTTGAGTTTAATCAAATTGACTTATTCCAACAATCTTCATTTCCATAATAATTATGTTTCATAATATACTTACAACATTTTTCCAATTTTTATGGTTAACTAAATTGTAGGCTATACTAGGTTAAGCAATGAATTTTTTTTTTAGAGAGAATTTATTTATTTTTTAGTTATCGGCGGATACAACATCTTTGTTTGTATGTGGTGCTGAGGATCGAACCCGTGGTGCTGAGGATCGAACCCGGGCCGCCCGCATGCCAGGCGACCTCGCTACCGCTTGAGCCACATCCCCAGCCCCAATGAATATTAATTAAATATATCAGTTACTTGTAAGTGAATTTAAATTTCTAAGTGAAAAACACCAAGCAAAAATTTAGGTTATATACTTTTTTCTTCTTCTTTTTGTATAATACAGGGAAAGTCTCTTACAGATTTGAGTTTTGTTATAGTTTGGGTCTAGAACATCCCCCCAAATGCTCATGCTTTAAAGGGCCTGTTCCCAATGCAGCAATGTTCAGAGGAGGGGCCCTTGAGACTTGGTTGGATCATGAGGGCTGTGACTTCATGAGTAAATCAATGTACTCATGAGTTGACAGTTTCATGGTATTATTGGGAGGTGGTTGGAGTGGTAGTAGGTGAGGACTAGTTGAGGGAAGTTAGTCACAGGGGACATTTCCTGTAAGGATGTATCTTGTCCCTAGCCTCTTTGTTCCTCTTTTTTTCTTTCAGGCTATCATGTGGTAAACAGCTTTGCTCTGCCACCATGATGTTTCTATTTTGGTGTTAGTGGACTTTGGACTGAAATTTATGAAAATGTGAGCAAAAATAAATCTTTCCTCCTTTAAGTTGTTTATGTTATGTATTTAGGTGACAGTGATGAAAATTGACTAACACAGGTATTATGGTTTGGAAGTGAGGTGTCTCCCAAAAGCTCAGGTGTGAGACAGTGCACGAAGGTTCAGAGGAGAAATGGTTGGGTTGTGAGAACCTTAACCCAACCAGTGAATACATCCCCTGATGGGGATTAACTGAGTGGTAACTGAAGTGGTAGGGTGAGGCTGGAGGAGGCAGGAATTGAGGCATAGCTATGGGGTATATATTTTGTATCTGGAGAGTGGAGTCAGTCTGTGGTGCTATTTCTCTGACCCTCTCCCTATCCCACCCCCTCTAGGTTTTCTGGTGGCCATGTTCTGAGCCTTCTTCCTTCAGCACACTCTTCCACTGTGATATTCTGTTTCACCTTGAGTCCCCAGCAATTGAGCCAGCTTCTATAGATTGACGTCTCTGAAACTATGAGCCCCCAATAAACTTTTCCTCCTCTAATTGTTCTTATCAGGAGTTTTGATCACAATAGCAAAGAAGCTGACTAAAACAAAAAGTTTGTTAATAAAGTTGTTCTTTTTTGGGTGTACTTAGAAATCATATTGTCAATAAATCTTTGTCTATAAACAATTGTGAGGTGTATTCCATAATCCTTGCTAGTCTGCCATAAAATATAACTAATACTTTGAAATGATTTATTCCCCGATTTTCTCTGTAAAACAAAAGTTACTAATGACTAAAAATCTTAATCAGTGTATGTAAATGAAACTGCTATGAGCAATAAGGGCAAAATGAAAGAACTTTGTTAAGAAATTGAAGTAACATCAATAAACAAATATGGCTAGAAGAACAAACCAGATCTCAATAATAACCCTAAATGTTAATGGCTTAAACTCACCAATTAAGAGACACAGGCTAGTAGAATGGATCACAAAACAAGACCCAACAATATGCTGCCTACAGGAGACGCATCTGATAG